CAAACTCTTCAGCGTTGTAGATGTCTGTATCCATTTTCACAACTGCTGTTTATAATAGCTTTCATCCAGATGACATTTCTGTTGTGAAACAGAGGGAAGCTTTTAGCTGAATTATTCTTTCTTCACCATGAGCTAATAACTGCCGCTACTATGAAGCTGCACACCACTTCTGACTGACCTCACAGGACTTCATATTGTAGCCTTGGAAGAACTGAACAAAACTCAGCACAAAAAAGCTGATACTTGCTATTTTTAGGAACAGAAGTTACACTAATCAGAACAAGTAAGAGCTACATCTAGACAATGCAAGTCCAGTGTCACCTTGTTCACATATCACTCATAACCCAATCATATTAAAACACCGTGTCCTCCTGCCACACGGCCCCTCAGTAACAAGTTTTCAAAGACTGAATGCTTATATTACAACTGTTGAAGGTTCGCTGTGTGAAGATTTCCTACCAGGACTGTCTTCTTGTATCTTAAGCTCTATTAACTCTAGCCAACAAGTGCTGTTTGTGGGAAGGGCAGTAGAAAGATGTTTATTTGTATAGAGTCAGTCAAACCCAAAGACAGGTTACTCTCACTGCTGAACTCCCAGCACCACGATGCCTACTCGGACTCTAAGAAAACCCCACGAAGAGCTTACTGCCTGCCACCCTTCCCCTCCCCCAGTCTTTGTTCGGTTTTAAATCGCATAGCCAGAAGTGCACCCATTATATAGTCATCAACAGTACACAGAGATCCAGTGAGAGAGTACTTGCACAGGAGGTCATATTACAAGGCTAAATGTATGAGTCGTCACAGAAGGGGCACATCTGGTCATCCAGAGAGGATGCACAATGGTGTACCGCAGCTGAAGAGCTGGGACAGCACTGCTCCAGCTATTCCCCTGCCCTCAAAGCACACTAATCTGCTGCTTTGGAAGCCCCTACTGCTCTTGACTGTACTATTTGCTTAATATGAAGACCGAGACCTATTCTAGGCCACCGAGTAATAGGATTAAAACGGTCTAATCCCAGATGTTACTTACAGTTTGCCAGAGAAGTTACTTTGGGGGACCAATTTGTATGTGAATGACGCTATGATCTCAAGACCCAGTACTAACGTGCATAAAGGTACACCAGTAGACGTCTAAAAAATATGAGGCAAAAGTAAGGGAGGCATAAAATTCTGAACTGCGTCTTGTCAAGAGGGAAACAAGTCACCTAAAAGAAAAGCAGGACCCCTTCACCACAGTATTAGCATATGCAGGTGATAAAAGTGAAAAAATGCAAGGACACCATTTAGTGATGTATTTATAAAAAAAAAACAAAATGAGAAGCTTTGCCTTGCAAGCCTTTCTGGAAGTGGGCATGCTCTCTATGCCAGCATCCCCATTCCTGTCCCTCAAGGCTTAAGCTTGTGACAAGTCACATGCGAGCTTTTCAGTGGTGACCTTGGGCCACAGTGAGAACAAACATAAGGATATTTGTTGATAAAAGGAAAAGCGTCCTCGACACAAATGAGATTTAGGCTATCGAACTGTACAAACAGAACAGGATTTGACAGCACAAAGTACACCTGGAAACCAACTAGAGTTTCTGCTTCAAGCTGGAAGCTCGGACTGAATCCTCCTCTACTTCGCTTGCCTTGCTGACCACAGGACAAACAAGCCACAGGTATGACAGTGCAGAATAACCAAACACAACCCTAGATGACATCACGAAAAGCACTTCTACTAAGCATGAGGTAAGACTGCAACTGTACAACATGCTAGAGGAATCTCCTTTGGAAGGTTTCATACCCATACTCATCACGGATACTCAAGACAAATTCAGAACCAAAACATGTGCAGACAATACCAAGAGGAAAAACGACACAAGACAATGGTTGGTTCGGCCTACCTAAACAGCTGTTGCCTACAGACACGTCTATAGTATTTTGCAAACGGTTGTACAACTTCTCTGCTGGCGCTCTGAACTAATAAACCTTACCTTCAGCAAGGCATGTTGGCTCAGGCTCAGTGCCATACTACGCTCACACAGCTTCTCATTAGCTTAGAGTACAGGAAAAGAAGGTTTCATCTTCTCAAAGTGTCAAGTTGATACGTGCTATCACTACTGAGGAATAAGGACTAAGCAAGTTAGAGAGCAGCATTAACTCCATAATAAAAGAGTATAAAACAGCCATAATTTAGTTTGAACTGTATAATAAAAAGTTCCTGACTTCTTAGGAAAAACCTGTTCTCAAGCAACCTCATAATCATAGTTGAAAAACAACCTACTATTAAGATGGAGTGTGAAATAGCTTAAGCAAGATGCTGCTTTCAGCAACAAAAAACAAATCTTAGTAGCCTAGAAAGCAATTTCTAGTTTTATACGCATATTTTTTAAGTAGAGTCAAGTGGACTTTCACAGTATCTATTCATTTATAAATTTCAGCTGAAAGTGGAAAACCACGCATCCCTGATTCTGCCAAGATAGGGAAGGAGCAGCTCTTTGGTTCTACAAGGGAAGTGCATCAGTGAAAGGCAACAGTGTCTTACATTTCTCAGCCTTGTTTACTCAGAGTAAACAGTCTGCGTCCCATATTTTAAGAAAAAAAAAATTAAGTCTTCCACTTCTACATGTGACCTACTGCCTGTACGTGCCAAAGGGATTACAGTTTAACTTCCAGAATGCACTCAGTTTCCTTTTTATAATAAGCACTAAACATGCAGATGTTTGGTGCTCTGATTTGCTTCAACAAATAGAGATTTTAGCTTCTAGAGTTTGAAGTTTCTGCTCTCTGATTTTACGTCAGTATCAAGATGCTGTGAATAAAGACTACAGCTGGATACAAATCTGCACTTTGAGAAAGTCAAAAGTACTCCAAGAAATAGGATAGTCACGGGGAACCAACTTGGGTACGTTTTCTTTCTTAGCTTAAATGAAGCAAAACCTTTGCTCTATCCAGCCACACGCAAGCTTTCACTGAAAAAAAATCTATGAACCTTTCCTCAAATATAACCCTTTCTACTATTTTTTTCTACATTGTAGTTAATGTTCTATTCAGACACAATACTTCTGGTGGTTGATTAATCTACTTGCAAGCTCTGAACTGGCACTGATCACATATTCCCAACATGCAGCATATAAGATCCATCATAAACTAAGCACAAGACATAAAGGTCTCCAAGAAGTCACTGTCAATATCAAAAAAATAAATCAGTTTCTCCAGAACAGCAGCCTTCCAGCTATGACTGTTGAAGCAAATGATTCTCAGAGAGAATCATGACCTTCAACGTATTTAACGGGTGGCTACCATTATTCGCTATCGACGCTCCTTTAAATGAAGCCTAAAGTACATTTTTAAATAAGGCTCAAAAGCAGAACCCAAGTCATCTGAGCAGTTTCACCAATATATCTACACCATATAATGCAGAAAATTACAGAATCATTAAACAAAGCTTCATCTTGATATCAAACAGCAAATCCGTGTAAGTACAACATAAGTCCCCAGTTTAATGTCATCGCCTGGATGACCCTCCCCTCCCTCTGCCTTCAGTCCATAAACAGAAGCAAACAGCTATCAAGGACAAGCAGAGACACCATATTGCCTCTGCACTTGTCAACACTGCTGGAAAACTGCATCAGCTTCTTCCTGAACTGCACAGCAAGAGACTAACAAAAGAGTTCTGTGAAAAGCCAAACAGGTAAGTTAAAAACTGGAAATGTGCTTAAAAGTAGGAAACACTTCAGGAACTTTATTTAGCTCATGAAGGGGGCAGTGATTAAGGAGCAACTTTGATCCGTCAGAGAAAGCCTGTATGAGAAACAAGAGTCTAAAATGGCGGTACCTTCAGATTAACACAAAAAGACACGTTTCAAATCTAAATTTGCCCCAAGTATAAGTGGTCCATCAATCACAACAACTTCCCAAGTTACTGTAGAATTTATCACTGTAAACATAGATGAGAATTTTACTGTATTTTTTCAAAAGGTTAAATTTAAGCTGGACTACAGCCTGTTTATTCGAGGATGTCCAACGGTCCACATTAAACAAAGCTCGCGTAGCAGTTCACAGTGGCTCCTTTGGGCACTGCAGCCTGTAAGTTAACAGATTAATTTATTTTAATTGTTGACTATGGAAAATTTATGCATAAAAATGCTGACTGATTTCAAAGTGACCCCTGTAACAACACTGAGCGACAGCCCTTAGTTTTGTCTAGTTATACAAAGAAATTGATTAGATTTGCAAAACCCATTAAGTCTATAAGACAGAGTCTTCCTCAGCTGAAGATGCACCAGGCTGCACCTCCTTGCTCATTTAAAGTAGCTAATGGAAGTCTTTGGTTAGTAAGAAATATTACACTTGCATGCACACACCTATTAGAAACCCCATCCAAAACTCCTTAGAATTGGTTGCAATACACCACACTGAAAGCATCTAGTGTCAGGTACAAAACCCTTTCATCGCTAGATAACTCAGCCACTGACTAAAACCTATGCTTCTTTGGTATTCCTCCTTCAACTTACATCATTTTAATCAAGTGACTTTTCCGAGAAGTTAAAGCTGCCCATCGACATCATGCAGTCCCAAAGGAAGAGAGATTTAACGGCACCAGGCCACTGACACCTGCCTTCAGCAAAAGCTACCTCACGCAGCCAGGGACCAGCACACACAACAAAGCCATGCTGGCCCGAATGCCATTATGCCAGAATAAATTCTTCAGAGTGGAGTTCAAAGCTGGAGGAAAAAGGGGTACTGGGAAGAAGGGGACAGGACATACACCCCAAGACACTAACCAGATACCAGACAAGTCAAATGAAAGCTACTGACAAACAACGTACTAATACCCTGACACTCTATTCAGGTACTTGCTACTGTATTCAGTATCTCCTTCAAAACTCCCTCCAGCCCCATGTTCCAAGAATATATATAACGAGCCATTTCTTTGACAGGACTTCAAACAAAGCTTCCTCCCCTCCAAAAAAAAAAATTAGAATATGAGTATTTCTGCTTCACCAAGAAATCTATACCCTTTTGTGAACAGATGATGCTACAAGCAGATGTACACAAGCAGATTCCACAAGCAGCTTCACAATCAAGCAGATGATCTCTTCTTTACCAGCCATCTTGACCTGTCTGGCTTGATTTACATAAACTGTTCTTATTCACTACAACATTGATTATGTAAAGCTCCACAAAACCTTAACCAAACACGTGCTGCCACATCACTGACAGAAAACGCGTAACAGACTACTGGGAGAAGGTTATTAGAAACGTATTTGCTGCAATGACTGACTTCAAATGCCTTGGCTTTACCCTCTGATCACATTAATGCACAGACAAGCAATCACAACTACTGCGAGACAATACAGGAACATGTTCTGGTGGAAGAACTACCTACTGCCAAAAGAACGCCTTCCTCTTGATTTAAAGGTCAAGCGTACAACAACCCCACTTTAATACTGCTAAGACAGAGTAAGAGCAAAATATAAAGGGAAAGTTTTGTCATCTGAAAAACAGGACTCTCAGCAGTTTGCCAGGTATGCCGATTCCTTTGTTCGTCATCCTTTTCACCGCCTAAAAGTCTCACAGCTCAAGACAGAAGTTATACATCAACATCACAATTAATGTTGGTTTGTTTTTTTTTTAAACCACACGGTGTCTCAAAACAACTTTTTTTTTTTTAAATCTAGCTGTGAGGTCACTCTTATCAATTTTAATCAGGCAGTTGTAACAAGAGCTGCAATGCTACGCTTCTGCCAGTTCACAGCTCTCAATTTCACTATGGGGAGGAGAGCAGATTTACATTGTCTTATTTAAATGGAACTCCAGATTACAAGATTTTAATACAAAACAGGTATTAAGAATTTTTTTTTTTTTAAAAGAATACTGAACAGATGCTTAAGCTGCTCCAGGAGTTCCTAGTCACAAATGTTGAGTCACCAAAGGGAGAGAGATGTTTGTATTATTTACGGCACTACATCCAACATTTAAGACATACATCTCTGATAGGAAATGCAGTAATCAACTCCTAAAGTGTCAAATGGATCTTAAAACCCCAATCTTCAGTCCAAAAATGGAAAACGCAGTTACTGAAGTCATGGCATTTCCTGGACTGCTTCCATCACGTCTACTTATTTCTACATCACATCCACCAAGCACATTGTGTCAGTAAGCTGTGACAGCCAGTGCCCTATTGTTTCAGTGTAGCCGATGGACACATACTGACCAGAGAGATTCAGCTGCCCGTTTGCAGACTTCTTGTTCCTAATTGTACTACAAGGGCAAGAGGATTTGTTTGCTTTTTTAGTACATGTAACACCCAGAAGATATAACCTCAGCAGTTTTAGAGAACAGCTGATACTCAAATAAAAACTCAGCTCAGTCATACGAAGTTTATTTAAATTTTATTGGCATGTTTCAACACACAGCAGTGAAGATCAAGACCTCTGGCAGAACCGATAAGCTGAGATCAATGCATTTCCCTATTAAAGGAAAAGCACACCAGACTTTGCTAGGTTAAGACCAGAGCCAAAACATTTCATACTTCTGTACTTTCAACTGCTGCTAAAAATAGTAAAGCAAGAGAAAGGAAAATGCTTCCAGCTGTGCACAAAAAGCCTCTGCAGCACAACATCAATTTATGCACTCTAATTTAATTAAAGATTCAACACTATACTATGACTTTATTGTTAGAGACGGTGTTGCACAGCTGAGGCTACCCTCCATTTCCACAACTGAAACAGTAAGAACGTTTCTTTATTAAATTTAGTTTGATATGGATATTTCTCCCAAATCAAGTTACTCGACTTGAATTCGAGTCTTTCAAGTGCCAGCTACGCCACGTTCATGGTAATAGCTGTTATTTTATTCCATGGTAACTCTATCTCGACCTAGTCTCATGATAAGAAACATTTAGCATCCCTTAAGGAAAAAAGGGTACACCACTGGACACACAAGTACCCAGTCTTGACAGCTCTTTTTATCTGCCCCCAGAAGATTCAAACAGTTATTCTGCAGAGGTGAACACAGTTCTTTATGAAACGACCTGACCAAAACAAAACAGAACAATCCCTAACAAACCAGAGTAAGGTTTTCTACGACCTTGCAGCAAATATGTAACAGATTCTGGGGGAGGCTGAGTAACGCAGCAAGGCTGTAACTGTTCTGCTTCACGGCTGGCTTGAAACCTTTCTAGTGTATTTATCACTAAAAATTATTCCATTAGCCATATGTTTCTACATATTAAACTAACAAAATTAAGCATCTCTTATAAGGTTCACAAGGGCTCTCAGCAAGCACGGCTTAGACGCTTCTCCCTCATCTGCTTCTACGGTGTTCAGGAGAAAGGCTTCAAGCGTTAACAGCAGGGCAAGAACATAATACCAAGCGGATTACTTTCAGATCCGTATCAAGCTGAGAAAATAAACATTTCCACTACGAATCTGAATATAAGCGCTTCATCCTCCTCCTCCCC